TACGTGACAAAACTTGTAATGGCAGTTGTATGTCCAGATCAATATATAAGACTCATCTCAAGTTCTTTTCCTTAAAGTTTCTGTAAAAATGGGTAACCTCATTTGACAGGCAAATTGTTAACACAAATGGGTTTAAGTGTCTCCCATGAGTTAATCTTGCATGCTGTGAAGATTGCAGAAGAAGTCCTTTTCAGCAAGATGGCAAAACTGTATTGAGAAATTTAATGTAGCTGAGCAAGTTTGAAGATGGTGCTCTGCTGAGGCTGTTAGTCACTGTTTCATTGCCCTGCTGAAGGTGCTTAAAATCACCAACCCACTGAAGACAGAAACTAACATGCCTCCCATTTGAAATTCTTTAAGAAGACCATCACGTGCACCATAGCATTATGCTAAATTTCTGTCACCTGCATGACTGAATCTGAATATCAGGTATGATACCTACTGCCTTTTCACCCAACATGAATAAGTGTTAAAAATACCAATTGAAAGAGTAAAATAGATGTTACATTTTAATGACCCATATTACTTACTAACCAAGAGAAATTCCTTGCACTCTGGAAAGGAGACACACAGATATATTTCTTGGATTGATTGTGGCTGGTGTACAGAAGGAGTCCCAAAAGATATAATGCTTCGCTGATAGAGGGCGTTGATTTATCCTTCAACAACTTTGAAATTTTTGCAACTTCTCTACTTAAATAAATCAGTCAAGGAAGTATCTTGCTACTGTATAACATATGGAGTTGTCAGTAGTTTTTATCTTTGAAACTGCTATTAATATCTCTTGGGAAAGAGTCACACAAAGAAGGCAGCAAAACAGCAACTAACATTAAGGAGGGATGGATTAAGGAGACATTAAGGGCCTTATTATTGTTGAGAAGCTAAATTGTGGAAGACATGATTAATGTTACTGTGACACGTTTTCTCTCGTTAGGGCCAAACAACTCTCAGACCTTCAAGTCCAAGCTCCTCTCCAGGGTTTGTCAATGAGCCTTGTGTGGTTTCAGTAAAGTAGTTTAAAAAGCTAGTTGCTGCAGCAACCACAGAAATGATCCTTAGGAAGTGTTTCAAAGGGAGAAAGTCCTGTTTTCCTGCTAAGGAAACAGTGGAGCACAAAAAAATCCCAAATCATCCAATAGTTTCATGTCTCTCAGTGTTTAAGTTGTCAGGATACTTTGGCATTTTTCCATATTTCCCTTCTTCTTTATTTTTTTTTTTTAATTTGATAAGGAACAACCACCCTCAGCATTTTTCAGTTACATGAGTACATGAAGCTCTAGCTGAGCAGAAGTGGCTTAAATTAATGAAGCATTAGAAAAGTGAACAAGCTTGATTAATATAATGCACAGTTTGGTAGTTCAGTATGATGTCCTTCCCAACCACCAATGAATTGTTAGGAAACTAACTCTGTGTGATAAAATGCTTAAGAAATTTTATTTGGAAAAGCTGCTGAAGAACAAGAAGTCCCAGGGCAAGGTCTTCGGCAAAATTAATATACGTCATCTCTCAGCTGCAGAGCTATTAATTGTCATTCACCATGACCGTTCTGGTTTTTATGCCTGACTATATGTAGTTCTACATGAAAATAAAGCATAGCTAGAAATTTTGGCTTAATTGAGTGAGTCTGAGGAAGTTACAGATTTTTCTACCTACCAGCATCAGGTTTTTTGTGTAGATGGATTTTCCTCCCCATTTTTAATCTGAAGGAAATTTCTTACGTAAACCTCGACATACCCACCAAGAATAGGTTCTTGCATATGTACCTGAGTAAAAACATTAAATAATCAAAATGAAATATGTTTGATGCTATCACAAGTAATGGGGAAAAAAAGCAATTGTCTTTAAAAAGAAAAAAAATACTCATATGTTGCCTGACAATATATATTAAAATAGTGATGTTTTTGTTATTAAAGATGATAGTGTTTATTTAGTAGGTCCCAATGCTTCCACTTATACTGGAAGCCTCTGAAATTAGAAAATAATGAAAAAAGAAGTTGTCATGAAATTAGTGTTTTAAGGTTGCTCAAAAAATTAACAAAAGCAGGATTAATATAAAGGCAACAGCACAACAGATTTCCTGGTAAAGTTCATTCTATTACTTTCTAAACAGTTAAAATATACTGAGAAAAAGCACACAAAAATCTGAAATCAATATTAATCTAGACTGAAATAAATGGAGGACCATGTATGTGGAGGCTGTTGTTGTGATGGAGGGAATGTGTGTGTCGTGGAGGGGAGTAGGTAGGTGAGACAAAAGGACAGAAGGTATAAGGACAAAAGGGATAACGCCAAACGGCCTGGCAACACCTAACTTATGGCTTAACTTAACAGCACTTAACTTGGAACAACTTAACAGCATTAACTTAACACCTAACTTATTAATGATTTATCTTGGATTCGTATGTGATTGCTATAACAGTAAATTACTTATAAATCTAAAGTACCTAAGAATTTAAGAAATCAGCATCCCTAGCACATTTGATATAGCATACACATACAGATATAAAGAGTCTGTACGAGGTACCTGTGAAAAATTAACAACCATTAAAAGTGAATTTGAACATCGAGTGGACCCAACTTTGCTCATTACCGGCGTTTTATTGCCATCTGGTGGCTATTGTGTATATTTCACACAGCGCAGATTTGTTCTCATTTTGTGTGCTAGTATCCAAAAAATTTCATAAAGAAAGCATAAAATCAGGAGCTGTATAAAAATTTTGAGTGCATTTAAGACATATCCTGATATTATGTGTAATAATCTATATAATATTATGTATAATATAATATTATCATCATCATGGCTAGGCTTCGTGAACGAAGATTTGGGAAGGCTCTATCCACATTTGTTACAGGCACGCTGGTGGCTTATGAGGCCAATACAAGATAGACATATCCGGTTGCAAAAGGCACAACAGAAAAACTCCTTAGATGGTATATTCTGCAATACACGGTTCTTTCTGTGTTGCCTTTTCTCCTTGAGAGTGATCCTGCGTGTGTTCTCAAAGGAGACAGCTGCGTTATAGATGGTGTGTCTCCAGGCCTCCCGATTGGAGGCCAGAGCAGACCAGTTATGGTGATCGATATGGCCAAGGCTGAGATGTTGTCTCAGGGAGTCCTTGTATCTTTTCTTCGGGGCTCCTCTCATGTGGCAGCCGGTGGCAAGTTCACCATAAAGCAAGATTTTAGGGAGGTGGTGGTCCTTCATCCTTGAGATGTGTCCTGCCCAGTGCAGCTGTGTTCTCATCAACATGGCCTCTATACTTGTGACTGTTGCTTGCTCTAGAACAGATGTATTGGTCACATAATCTGACCAGTGGAAATACAATATTATATATAGTAAACAAAATACTTTATATATATATATATATATACTCTGCTAATGCATCGGATTTAAATGCTGTGATATAAGGACACATATAAACAAATGCAACCTAAAAGTCCTGTTGACCTCTGTAGTAATCAAAATACAAAGTGCCGTGCAGCATCGGGTATTCAGAATTCTCTATAATTGCAACATAAAAGCCAAAAGAAATTTTCAGTGATATTAAAATGAAAGAAGGTACTTGTATCTTGAAGTTCTCTTTGAATTATTTCTTTTTCTAGATGATGACACTGGGTCTGGTTAATGGTTGTACTTGATGATCTTAGAGGTCTTTTCCAATAGTACATTATTCCTAAAACTCATCTTGCATTTCTACTGCAGCATGTTGTGTCGCTATCCTGTCTGCTACATTCAAGTGCTATTAACAGATGCTATTCGTTATCTTACTGGTATATTTGTGTGTTTTACTTTGCCATTTAGTTTCATACACGGTGGTACTTTTATCAGAAATGTAAGTTTCAGTGTAACTAAAGGGCTCACTTTGAGATTTCAGTTTCATTCTGCATAGGCAGAAATAAGTGTGATGTTTATGATTTTTTAATGGCTTATTAAAAGCCATCATTAACAGTTCTTTGTAGTCTGCCTTATTTATTCCATGTGTTGGTAGGAGAAAGTCCTTCATAAGATATTTAGATGAGCATTGTGATCAGGTTTATGAAAGTGTATTTTAGACAGGTAGAGAAAAAGAAGTCAATTTCAATGCAAACCCAGAAAAAAAATTGCATCAATTTCTATGGACAAACACTTTCAGATGGAAATTTATCATGATTCCTGATCCAACAACGGGGTGAACATCCTAACAATATGAAGATAACGAAAGGGGAAGACCCTTCTCAAGGTGACAAATCTAAATGTGTGTTTACAAATTTATATATTTTTTAGTTCTTTATGCCTGCTCCATGACGTGTCTGTATTTACACAGTATGGAATAAATAGAAAATCATTTTCTCTTCAGTTATAGTGCTGATGCCATGTGTACCATCTTTGCTGTGCTATTGCTTTGGCTTGTGATACTATTTTATCAAGTTGTTATCTCCCCATGCTGACACTGAGGTTATTGTCTGCCAGGTTTTCCTTCATGCAGACTCTCTCCTTTATTTCTGCTGCTGTCCGCACTGTTTAGTACTTTGAGCCTCATTAGCTACAGCCTTTTTTCTGTCCCCTAGACCATCATCCATGTTTCTTCAGTCTATACAGAAAAAAAGTAATCCACTTTGTTTGATGCTATTATTAAATCAAAACCTTTAAAAATACATACCTTGGTGTTTTCTAATCATTTATTACTGGAACAACAAAAGGCCTCTTCCTGCTAATTTTTTTGAGCAGTATGTTCCTTCCTATGACACAGCACTGTCAGAAAACACGCTATCCCCTTCTCTACTATGAATTTCATCTTATGCCTCTCATTCTAGTCATAACAGGGTCAAAGAGGGTATCTGCATTTCTCTGAATGTAGTGAACATCACTGCTTTAAAGTCCGGACTTTTCCTCCTGCACATGTTACAGCAGGGCCAGTATCTTGTAACTTCCAAGATCAAAGCCTTTAAGAGGCAGCCAGCTCAGCTCAGCTGAGCACGTGGAAGTGGTGGCAGTTAAATGTGGGACAACTGCCAGGATTGCCTCTACCAGTATGATTCCATTAAGATCTGCCTTCCTTGCTATGGTAGCAGGTGAGGTTATTTGCATATGGCACTGTGGGCCTCGTTCACCCTTATACAAAACCTTCTTATATTGCCTGATGAAACACTTCTGGCCTTCTATTATTTTTACTCTTAGAGAAAACAGTGGGGTTGTTCATAGTTATGCTCTTTTCATGTTTGTACTAGAGATGGTCTCTTTTCCTGTTGAAAACACAGAAACGTGTAAAATGCCCTTGCACTTCAGCTCTATCTGGGATGTGCCCTAACCAAAACCAGAACTAGAACTGAGTACCTGCTGTGTCAGATTTGTGGGTTAGGCTCTACATTTCTGGGCCCAGATCCCACCCCATGGGAGGAGCAAGTAATTGTAATACCTTCTTCGTAGAGGAAGGTATTAAAAGGAGTAATATGAGTTAAAAATTGCCAGAGCAGATAGGCCAAAGTAAATTTTGTGAGACACATTATATAAATCTTAGAGCTGATACCTGAAGTGACGCATTAAGTTAAAGATAGTAACTGCAGAACTGTGTATTGCAGTATATGTAATGCATTAAATATTAAAGTGTTAATTAATGTCTTGGACCTTAACAAGAGGGTAGATGTGTACCTCATGGCTTAATAGTGTAGGTCTATGGTACTGCCTTTTTCCAGCACCCTGGGAGCTACACCACCCTCTTCATTGTTGTGAAGAGCAAGACTTTCATGCTGCTATAGTCTTTGATGCCTAGAGGTCATTCTGTTGCTCAACAGAGGAACTGGCTAAGCCACCACCAGCCAGCTGGTAGAACATTTGTAGGAGCATTAATGCCAGTAGACACACTTTAAACAGAGTATACTAAGCGCTTATGAGTTTCAGCCAGGGGAACAGAGTTGGATATGTGGATTTGTAGCCTGAAGTTAGGTGGAAGAGAGGAGTTTGTGTGTGAGTTTATGTAAAACCCTTAGTTCATAGTACTTACAGCCTGAGACTGAAGGAAAAAAAATTTCTTGGATAACAGGAGATGTCATAAAAGACTTTTCCAGTGCCATTCCTGTTCAAGGAACAGTTTTATTGAGAAAAAGCCATCTGCTGCAGAGTATCAGTAAAGAGATCATAGTAGAATTAAAATGACCTATAGTAATTCAAATAATAACAATACAGTCCTGGTTTTAAGTTAAGAAATTACTAAAATTCTTATAGACTGAAATTCTAGAGAATATGAAAAAGCCTCTAGGGCTTGGATTTCCAAAATAGCTAAGTACCCGGAATAATGTGGTGCGATGGAAATCTCCTTACTGAGAAGCATGAAGTGGAGACCTCATAGCAACCTTCCAGTAACTGAAGCAGACCTACAGGGAAGCTGAAGAGGGACTCTTTGTCAGGAACTGTAGTGATAGGACAAGGAGCAATGGGTACAAATTGAAAGAGGGGAAATTTAGGCTGGATATGAGAAAGAAATTCTTCAATCTGAAGGTAGTAAGGCACTGGACCTGCACTTGAAGTGAAACACGTGTTTATAAAGTGTATTGTGTCCTTTGAATATATAAAGGCAAAAGGAAACAAAACCTACCTGTTTTTTGAGCAAAGTCCTAGAATGCATCAAAGCCCAAAACACACAACAACTTTTAGTTGCCCTTCTAGCCCAGTGCTGGCAGGGTTCTGTTCAAGCAGTTTTTGAATGTACACTGTTCTGTTGAGAGGTAGTACCTACAAAGGCTTAAAATACTTTTTGTTCTGTCTGGGGGACTTAGTTTTCTGCACAATCTTTCTGTAAACATTTCAGGAACTGATTCCTCACACTGGTCAAATGGCATTTTCTCAGTCATTCCTTATGGACTTGTCTGGGCAGTTCTCTTTCCTTCTGCTGAATCTTCAGCTGAATGATTCAATGTACAGTTTGTGCATTTATCCCTATTGTGAATGCCTGGGATAATTTAGACAATTATTTTTACAAAATGAGCTTGTAAGTTCCCAACAGAAAAAAGTATCATGCGAAAGCAAACCAGAGTTTGTCTCGATTGGTCAAGGTTGTTCCTCACTTGCTTATAAGAATGACTTTTGATGATGTAATGTAAATGGACCGAAATAACTTGAAATTTTTTGATAGATTTATATATTGGAGTAGCTCTTCAGTAAAACTCACTACATATTTTTACTACAATTAAGGAAGTGGATACCCTGCTTATTTAAAAGTAATGTATCTAGTAATATTCTTCTCTGAAATGGATGGTATTAGTTGCTGGTTTTTAAATGCTGTGCCTCAAAAAAAGCTAATCCTTTGGTAGCAGCTTAACTTGTACTAGTGTGAAGAAAAGAGTGGAATGTTTGTATTTAGGTACCTACATTTGTAGGCATATATGTTTCAATATATGTAAAGCCTTCTTGCCTCTGTGTTTGGCATTTATGATCAATAGCAGTTGCATAGCTAGACCATAAAGGTCTAGGTGAATTCTTCAGAAAATATGTAATAATCGTGCTTCTATTTATGTGTCAACAACAGTAAGCTTAGAGCATGAATCATTTACTTAGAACTCAAGTATTTCATATTCCTTCCTACACATGCTGTTCTCATTTGCTTGATTAGCTGCTTCTGGTATGTTAGAGAGTTTATTGTGTACTCATTTACCTTTCCCATTACATGATTTGCATGCATTTATTTGACTGTGGTTCCAGACACTGTTCCTACTGTTGTTACTTTGGTTTACATGTGTTCTGAAGCTGTACTGTTATTGAGCCTTATCTAAAGGAAATCCCAGATGGTTCCTGCAAGGTAGAGGAACAAGTTGATGATTGCTTTTCTGAGCAAACATTTTCCAAACAAGTTGCCCTGTCAATTTTGATTTAGTACAACTGATTATAGCACAGTTATGTTGCAAAGATAACTGTTTCTTTTGATGTTCTTGTAATGGAATCTCTCCATAATTTATTAACTAGATATCAACCTAAATATTAAGATATATTGAGCACAGTCAATTTTTTATTGCTATTTGAATTCAATAAAGGACAGCGTTTATAAGAAAAGTTACCACCCGTGAGCCAGATAAAAGATAAGGAGCATATATCAAGAAAGTCCTTGGTTAGGGTTTGAACTGATACCCTCCATTTTGTATGGAAAAACCAACAAAACAAGATTTTAAAAAGCAAATAAGAAGTACCACGGAGATTGTGCTGAGTTAGACACTGTCATAGAAGATGAAACATAAGAGGAATTACAGCACTGGGTTGATACTTGGCCTAATTAAGGTTCTGGATGTCACCTGTATAGGTAGAATGTTTTTGGATCTCAGAAAATTTAAAAATGCTGCCTTTGAGTTATTGAAATACATGAGCTGGAAGTGTGGTGAGTTAGAACTTCTCTAACAGCAAGACCTTGCTGAGCAGGTCCTTGCACAAGAACTGCAACTGGCTACTGGGTTTATAAGTGCTCAGAAGGCAAGGAGAAAAGGTACAAGAAATACCTTAATGTGGGGATGAAGCTTCAATACAGTTCGTAGCAATAGTGTTAAATATGCAGAGATGGAATTTGTCATGGTTTGAGATAGCCCCAAAAATCTACTTCCCCTAGTCCTAGCCCCCTTCTACATCTCAACATAATGTGAGATGGGTTTTTCCAGACAAAACACATCAGACTCAAAGTAGGGGAAAGGGAATATATTACAATGACTGTA